AGGGTCGGTTACTAGCCTATTGCCAGCGCTCATCCTGTTCATCTCACTCGCCGTTCGTGATCTCAACACCTCATCGCCTCCGTGAGCAGAATTATCATCCTTATCTCGCCCCATATTCAGATGATGCGGTTTGCGAATCCTGACTGGTCCGCGAGGGGTGCTGCTTTGAGTCTGATGCCTGAGGCTTGACAACCTGACTTCTCTCTATCTCCAAGATACTTATTTTGACGAAAGCCCCCGTTCTTAAATCCTTACCAAGTGAAGCTACATACGTATTACTATGAAGATTGCGATCCCTCAGTAAAATATGCTATTCAAACCGGGGAAAAAGTACTCCGTAGAATAGATTCCCGTGCCGTAATAGCATAGTACGACAAGCAAATTATTGTACATCTTCTCTGTTAGCCGCCTCCGTGGTCCACAGACGGATGCAAATTTGAGTGTATGAGTGACGAATATCATCCTTGAACTGCATTATGGCAGAAACGATATAATTCACGTCCCCTGTTAGTTTGTGGCTGCAGTTCCTGACGGAAGCTGCTCCACTTGCCTCGGATGGGAGGGGATTTTGCGGTACCGGCGGTTAAGAATACGTTCCGCGGAGCTTTGTATTAACCTGGACGGCGCCTTCAGCGTCGTATAATGATCCTCTCCCTGCATCAAAGGTCCCCTCGCATCCGGAGATGTGGTGGGGCTTATCCAGAGCACAAGTATATATACGGTTAATGCAGATGTTCCAACCTTTACGACCTCAGCGACTCCATATCATGACCGTCATCGAATTCGCGAGCATTGCGCTCATCGAGCCCAACACACTACAAACCGATCCCATCCCCGCACTCTTCCAAAAGGGCTGCACCCTCCAAGCCGCCTTCTCCTCACACCCCGCCCACCTCTTCCAAGACGTGTCCGACCCATTTTCTGCATACATCATCGCAGGGTGGCAGGATGTCGCACAGCACATGCAATCGATCGAGAGCGAGCCCAACAAGGCCGTGATGGCAGATATCACGAAGTACATGGGTCTCAAGGCCCTGGCGCACCCGGAGATCGAGTTCAGCACTTTCCCGGAGGATGCGGACGTGGTCACTGTAGAGAAGTATGCTGCTGAGCAGGGCCCGGGAGCGTCTGATTCCCGTGCGAAGTGGGTGGGAGCTGGCATTGACGATGAGACGAGGGCAGGATATAAGATCTCAGTTTATGGCGCGGAGGATGGGGACTCGGTGGTGTCGTCCACCAGTGAGGCAGGAAGCGAGAGGTTGGTGATGCGACGAGTTACCACATTCAAAGCGTAAGAAGCAAAAGACGTTCGGGAATTCTGTATTGGAGTGGACAATGGAATGTAATCATATAGCCGAGAATAAATGCCGGCGAGTTCGGTGACCAGAAACTTTCTGAGATTGAGGAAGGTAGTTGAAGGACAGTAGTAAATTCATCCTAGGGAAAGCTGCGAGACAGTCATAGTCCAGACACAGGACGAGATATTTACGCGCGGGCGACCTTTGGACCTCGAGAGAGCAAAGTTGAACCTGTAAATACTTTTCAACAAAACCCCCACTCTGAGCCAGGCCACGTAGGAGTACAGAGGTTCCATTCCGGACCGCAGGGGATTACTGAGAGGCCAATGCAGATGGATATGTAATTTCTCGATGGTAGGCTCCCGATATTCTTTGGTGCAGGAGATGGGCAGGTCCGGTTCTTAACCTTCGGTGGCTTGGGCCATGCAGGCTCACGAATCCCATTAGAGATTACAACAGGACAGCTGGGCGGCATCTCGATTGTGGAGGCTATGTCATTGACCCTGCGATTCGTCTTCCAAGTTCCGAGTCGTGTTCCGGTGGTCGGGACTCAGGGACAGTGTTTCTCGTCTTCATGGACTCCATCCTCAAGTCACCCCGATGTTACTCCAGGAGCCCATGTCAGACCGACAAGATCTAGAACCTTGCGTTGCCATCCGTGGATAATTTTGTACAGCACCTTGTCCTCAGCCAGTCGCTCTCGTAAGAATTCAACGGCATGCCAATACATAGCTGGGACTTTGCGCCTGGAAGAACCTCTTTAATTGCTCTGCTTCGCTTCAAGTTTAATCCTTGTCCAAGCGAGGTGGATCCTTGGGCATACGAACAGACTCAAGGACTTTTCGTAGGACCCCCTTGGAAACCAGATTCGGCACTACTTAGTACCATCGACGGAAGCCGTAAACGGCCCTAAACGCAAATGCTGGTGGAATGCCCCTTAGGGCAGTGTGGTTGAAAATAATCGATCGCTTGGCGCCGTGTGCAATGAATATATTGTTCAGGGCAGGCGATTTGGCGTTGTGCACCTTGAACTCGGCTTGAATGCAGCGCACTCACCTCCAACTGGCGTCGCTCTCGGATTGGAGTCCTTGAGGTATATACATGTGCAATATCTTCGGACTGAGGCTTGGGGATCGATCAGGCCAGCCTTGGGTCAGCCGCCGCTGTCAGAGTCAACGCATAAATAGCCAGGTAAGCCACAGTCATCCTCAATCCGCTTCTTGTCCCCCTTCCACCACCACCGTCACCACCAGTACTGTCTGCTAGGCAAGCCCGACGGTGGTGCCGACTCTCTGTCTTTGATCACAACCTGCACTCTCTCATACCTTATAGCTACCATCCACTCCTCGTTACCGGTTCCCTCAAATTCCCCCTCACTGTCTGCCGCTGGTCGGCCTCCAAAGAACTTCATCTCGCCTAAGCATGCGACAGATTGCTTTTGTGATCCCCGGCCTCAACGCTAAGGTTAGTCGTCGTCATTGCTTACTACTTCAGTGATGTGGCTGACCACTGTCGTTTCTTCAGATCTCTGTGCGGTAGACCAACATCAACGTACTCTTATCTACGCTTTGTCACGGCTGGCTGAGCGGAGCACAAAGTCAGTCGTCGCTGTATCGGTTCTTGTCCAAACGCCGAACTGACCGCCGTTGTAGCCTTCTAGTATGGTCGTGGCGACTTGGTCATTGTTCATCAAACCTCTCCGACATCATCCCCCCTTATGGCTCGCTGGGTATCACCAGGAAGTGTAGTAGGACGGGTGCAAATGGCGATCTCTAGGTTCATTTGGGCGATGATTCCTAGAACGTCCTCCGTTCCTATTCAGCGAGGTGGTATCCTGCGAAAGGTTGATTATCTGATTCTGTCCCCAACCCCCGACTGACCTTCGTACTCGTGCTAGCCAGTTCATTCAAAACTTGCTCACCCTATAGCTGCAGGAGAACGGTATCGAGGCTGACGAGCCTTAACCGTGTCATTTCTCTCTGGGTTTATGTTTAAGAGTGTTTTTCTTCGTCGGTTTTCTATCGGCCATCTATTTCTCGTTCTCAACCCACACCGGCGTCCACCCCACCTGGTGCGACAATGTGCTTCAGTCTCCTGGGATTTGCTTTGTTCCCAACTTACCGGCGTGCGCCCTCCTGCGACATATATACCCGCGATGCTCTACCTTGGCGTAATCGTTTCAATATCTTTATTCTCTACCATCCAATTGGGCCCTGGATGTGTCCTTTAGTTACCATCGATCCTTTCTTGTACTCGAAACCGACCCGGCTTCCATTCCACTTGGTGCGACAATCTGCTTCAGTCTCCCCGGGATTTGCTTCGTTCCCGACTTACCGGCGTGCGCCCTCCTGCGGACATATATACCCGCGATGCTCCATCTTGGCGTATTCGTTCTAAACCTTCTCATTCTCTGCCATCCAATTGGGCGTTGGATGTGTCCTTTTTGCTACGGATCCGACTCGACGTTGCCAGCCTCATGGGATTTGCTTTCGTTCCCGCCTTCCGTCCACAAGACAACCACCGGCGTGCGCCCTCCTGTGTGCAAATATACCCGCGATGCTCCATCTTGGCGCCCTTCGTTACTACTCTTTCCCTTCTATACCGTCCAATTGGACGTTGAGTGTGTCTTTTTTGCTGCGGATCCGACTCGGCGCTTCAAGTTCCTAGGGATTAGCTTTCGTTCCCGCCTTCCGTCCACAAGACAACCACCGGCGTGCGCCCTCCTGTGCATATATACCCACGGAGGTGCATCTTGCTTCTACCGCACCCTCGGCCGCCGAGAACCTTCCTTTCGCTATCCCGTCGTTCATTCAGAGGCAGCGGGTGTTTCTTTTTAGTCTCTTAGTCTAGTATCTTGACTCGTATAGTATCGTATTGGGAATTGACTCGTATAGTATCGTATCGAGAATCGTGGATTATATATACCAACCAATAAAATGACTGATAAAATCTCTCTTGTCCCCGAAATGAGGAACCAATTGGAACCATAGCCTCGCTATGCTTTATTAAGCTGCGCGCCTAAGCTACTTGTGGTCATAAACCTTGAGGCCTTTGCGCCGTGAGTTGGCATATATATGGTTGGTGGCAGGCACAACTCATGGATTCGCTGGCGTAAACTTCGTATCCCAAGTCGCTGGTACAACAGACAATATGGGGGAAATGGAAAGGCTGAGCGCAAGGTGATTTTCACGCACTATTCGCTATCTGGTGGTTCTCGAGAACCTGCCATGGTAGTCTTCGCCTAGGCGTGATAGTCCATGGTACAGTTCCCAACTTCCATGTCATTGAGATTTTCCATAGAGTCAGCGACAGGATGTAAATCGTCTGAAAGGCTAGAAATCAAAGAAATAAAAATAGAAAAGCCAAGGATTCGATTCTGAAAATAGCTCGACTCACGAGAAGCCTCGTGTAATCTAGAGGTTTTCCATATTGTAGGGTGGAATCGTTCGATCTTATCTGAGGCCCATATTCTGCATCTGAATCATTTATCATTACATTGTATCTATGCTTCATGTATCGTCATACAACAGACGAACGCTAGAGGGGCAGATTACCAAAACAAAACACAAAGTCTGGCTCTTGAGAATAGCGCGACTGTAGTTACTAGTTAATAGTTATATGACCTTGAAACTGGGAAAAGCGAAGCCAGACGCGGGGCGGCGGGGGTGACGGAAGGTCGAAAGCTACAAGACACAAAACAATTGACCGAGACAGGGGTCGAACCTGCAATCTCCTGATTACTTGAACTTGCAACCAATGCGAGAAGATCGTAGTCAGACGCGATGCCATTTCGCCACACGGCCTTTTTGTTGACCAGAACATCTGTCCATCCTGATGTCCCGCCGCACATCAACTTGACATCGACGCCACAGCAACCGCCATTCTCCTTATCTGGGAATATTACGCCAGGTATACAACATGTATGATACACAACGTTCCGTAATCCAAAGCTTCAGTTTTCCCAAAAAAAAAAAACGATAATCACTTGGATAATACAGGAACGGAGTTAGAAACGCCGCGGATATAGGCGATTCCATACTACTCTGTGCGAAGGAGTATAGATTCGAAAATGACGACTTATTCCACAGAAATGCGGCGTCCTAAAAGGATAGAACATGAGAACAAAGTCTACAGAATTTGATTTATCTTACCAACGCGAATTAGAAAGGGAGGAGATACGCGGCAATTTCTCATAGACCCAGCCTGGGGCTCGTGCATTATCTCGCTCAGAAGCCGACATGGTGTAGAAACGGTCGGATGTCGGGGCGCACGAACGGTGGAGAGGAAGTCCTTCGCAAGCGTTCTTGGTATATACATATCCCGCAATGCCCTCAGACACATATCCAAAAATGTTGATGGCGTTGTCTCTCTGCGCAAGATCGGTAGTGTAGAAGTAGTTCAAACTTCGTCAGTGCCAGGTGCGGAAGAATGAAACTGTTCCTGGCTGTTGCTCGGGGAACAAATATCCGGCGATGCCTTCGGCGACATATCCGAGCGCGTGCTGCATTTCCTCCGCATCTTCGGTGTAGAAATGGTCGGAATTGACCTGGTTCCAGGCCCTTAGGAAGGGGACAGCGGTTCTGGGATCACCATGGGTCGGGATAGTAAGGGAGCTGGGCTAAGCAGTACCAAAGTGGTAAAACCGTATCCCACGAGCTTAGCCAGTATGACATTAGCATGTCAGTATAATGATTGAGCGGTTCTTGAAACAAAAATTTAAGATGAGTGAATATCAAAGAAATGACCTTGAGGATCTCTCTTTTTTCGGAAATTCGAGCTTTGAATTTAGTGATCTCTTGTTGACCACCATTTTCGATTTGGTACCAGTCGACGACCAACGTTTACCATTCTCAGCAAAAACAGGTCGTTGGCTCAGTGTCTCAAGACACGGAACGCACCAGCCGCGCAATTGCCCATCTACAGATCTCATCGATCACGCCTTACCCGTACCTTTCATAACAGTCATAGCCAGGATACTATCATTATGCGTTATGATGCCATTGATGGTCGAAGTCGAAGTGCAGCGTCCAACACCAGAGTGCAGTAGTCCAAACAAGGACTCGGAGTCCGAGTCTCCCGGCCCGATTGCGATCACAGTACTCTAAACGCGTGTGTGTGGCTACCACATCCGAACCAAACATTGAGCCTAAGCAGGCTGAAGAAAAGTTCTTGGTGGGCTATACGGTATACCTCACCTTGGGCGACATGAAGCCCTCTCCGCCCAAACCCCCTCACCCCTCCTCCGAAAACACACCAACCGGCAGAGAGAACCGTCGATCGCGTCGGCGGCGGCAAAAGCGGTCTTCACAAGAGGCAGAAGTAGAAGCGAGCGGGTCGACGCTCCCCACACCTCCTGGCCCGGGCACACCAACACAGAATCCGGCTGTGGCGAGTACTTCTGGCACGAGTAAGGGCACGTTTGAGGAAGGCGAGGACTTTATACCTTTTGGACTTGGGGACGTGTCGGACGATGAGCGGGTCGTGAAGATCACGCCTGCCGAAGCTGGGAAGGTGGGGTCGAGCCTAGATAGCCCTGGGCGGTCCTTAGGAAAGGGGAAGGGAAAGGAACGTGAAGGATCGCCTGTGCGGGAACGGACACCGCCAAGGGAGGAAGACCGGGAACGGAGCAGGAAGGACCGAAGAAGAGACAGGGAAAGGGACCGTTCACGAGAGCGGGAGGACGACAGGAATAGGGACAGAGACCGGGATGGGAAGAGGGATAGAAGTCGGGACAGGGACAGAGATGGAGACCGCAACCGCGACCGTGCCAGAGATAGGGATAGGGATGTGGATCGCGACGGAGGCCGGGATCGCCACAGGGACAGAGATGCTGGTGCGAAGCGCAAGCTGGAATTTGATCCAAACGACGGGTATGCGAACAAGAAACAGCGTCTTGACGCTTCAACGAGGAAATCTCCATGGGTTGCTGGATTGGATTGGAACCAGTGTAACCATGTCGCCGAAATGTACGCTTTCGCTTCTATTTTATTGTTCATGCTCTTGTCTCATGCCTTCTTAACAGACTACACAAAGAAGTGGAAGCCTTCGTGAACTACATATCGCCATCGCCGGTTGAAGACGAAATACGGGGCCTAACGATTTCTCTCATCGCCAAAGCGGTGACTAGTGCCTTTCCCGATGCGACCGTTTACCCCTTTGGAAGCTACGAAACAAAACTATATCTGCCTCTCGGGTACGTCTCCCCTTCACCATTCCAAAATTACCGCTGAACTCACGTCCTCCTCAGAGACATCGATCTCGTCATCCTCTCTCAATCCATGGCCTACAGCGACAAAGTCACCGTCCTACACGCTCTCGCCAACACCATAAAACGCGCCGGCATCACGCAGCGCGTCACCATCATCGCTAAAGCTAAAGTCCCCATCGTCAAATTCATCACCACCCACGGCCGGTTCAACGTCGACATCAGCATAAATCAGGAGAACGGCATCGTGTCAGGAAACATCATCAACGGTTTCCTTCGGGACATGCATGGGAGTGGACCTGGGGGCAAGGGGAGCCTGGCATTGCGGAGCCTCGTCATGATCACCAAGGCGTTTTTGAGCCAGAGGAGCATGAACGAGGTGTTCTCGGGCGGGCTGGGGAGTTATGGTATTGTGTGTCTGGCGGTGAGCTTTCTGCAGATGCATCCGAAGATTCGGAGGGGGGAGATTGACGCGGACAAAAACCTTGGGGTGTTGATGATGGAGTTTTTTGAGCTGTATGGGTGTTATTTCAACTATCAGGAGGTGGGGATTTCGGTGAGGGATGGAGGGACCTATTTCAGCAAGAGGCAGCGGGGATGGTATGATTATTATAAGGGCAACTTGCTTTCCATCGAAGACCCCGCGGATCCTTGTGAGTTGTTTTTGGTACGGCATGGTTGTTCCGATGCTAATACTGCTCTGTTCATTAGCAAATGACATCTCAAAGGGTTCCTTTGCATTCCAGAAGGTCCGGGCAACGTTTGCGGGAGCCCATGGCATCTTGACATCCACCGCCTACCTCATCGCTGGTATTCTCAATGCTAGGAGACAAGGCCGATCAGTAAGCCTTCGCGACCGCGACAAACCCGAGGAGCTAAGTATCCTATCGAGTGTCATGGGTGTCACGCAGGAAGTGAGTTGTTTCCCTAGTAATTATGGACATTGCATTCTTACTCAACTTGTTGCGTAGACGATCAATCATCGCAAACTCGTGCAGGAACTGTATGACAAACGCGTGCTACACAATCTCCTCGGCGTAAAGCCGCAACCCGTGATCGGCAACTGCAACGACCTGAAGATTCTAGGGGCGTCGAATGGGTCTGCAAAGCCCCCCTCGTCCTCGAATTCCCGCGAAGCGAAGAGCGTAAAGACAGCATGGCAGGAGGCTGATGTGGAACATGAAGATGGTCATCATAAGCGACATCGAGAGGTTGATCTCGATGAGGACGAGGAGGGGCGGTATAGCATTGGTCGGCAGCAACCTCCGAAAAAGCGTCGAAGGAAGGGGAACCTGACAGACACACATACCGTGTTCACCACCGACGATGACGACGACCATTCTGTTATCAGCGAAGACGACGAGGAAGAAGCCCACTATGCCAGCGATGTTGGATCGTCACGATCAAGAAGAGACCCAGAAAAGACCGACAAGCGCAGGTCGTATTGGTTGTCGAAGGCTATTGGGATAGACTCGGAAGGCAGTATCTAACTGTAGGGATTGTGTTCGGAGGGTCGGGCAACAGCTCCCGTAGTTTTTGTAATAGAATGCACATGGATACCATTTGGTTGCTACGGTCGGCCGCTTAAGCGCCCGTTTCAGGTTCAACATCATTTTGCAGGGGCCGCGTGCAGTGCGGCCGTCCACCTCTCTGGCTGTCCGCCAACTGATCCACGGTTCTTTGCTCTTCGCTCTCCACCTTTCGTATCTACGTGGTGACTACAGTCGCTGGTCGGCCGTAGCAGCATCTAGCTCTCACTCAACACTCTTTCGACATTTCCGTTCATAAATGTCAGTGGGCTGACTGACAACTGCGACAGAACCTGTGCTGATATTTTTTGACAACAGGACAACCTCCAGGGCACAGGCGCCCCAGGTCAATCTCAAGGAGCGCATCGCAGCCTTGAACCAACGAAATGTATCCCCAGGTCCCCGTCCCACATCGCCCTCAATTCCCAGCCCTGCAGCCCCGAACTCTGCGGGCCTACGTGACAAGATAGCAAAGTTCGAGAAGAAGGGCGGCGTGCCCGTCCCCCGAGGCAGTTTCGGGTTGGGAGCACCGCCGTTGGCTGAAAATGGGCCGTTGAAGAGGCGGGGCGAGCTGTATGGCAACCGCATCCCCGGCACGGTGCGGGTGAGCGGTGGGGGGCCAACGGTCAGCCGTTCGGGTTCGCCGTTCGATTCGCTTAGGTCGTTTTCACTGTCTGCGCTCGAGGGTGTGGAAGGTGATGATGCGGATATCATGCCTGCGGACGCGGCGAACTTTCTTCCTTCGTCTCCGTCGTCACCGTCTTCCCCTGCTACCTCGTTCCAGGGCCTCACCCCACAGCATACGGGGACTTGGGAAAGGGACCCTTCACCCCGTGGGATGCCGTTTGCCACGGCACTTGAGCATGCTCGCCGAGTTGAAGGCAAGCTGGAAGGCTCCTTCAAACCAGATGGTCGGGAATCGTCACCTGCACCAGTACCACCCACAGCCGTGTCGGGACCAGAGGAGAAGACAAAGGTGGATGTTTCTTCGGATCTGGAACCGTCTCTGTCTACACTACCAGAGGAAACTCCATCTGAGGATCCGAGTCAGCAGGCGGCCCCAGAAATA